TTCCCAGGAGGCCCAGGCTGCTCTCCTCCCTCATCATCCTCACTGCCCTGGGAGAGACCCCCCCTTCCAAGCCAGGTGGGAGGAGCCGACCCCAGGAATGAGCCTGGGATTATCTGGAGGGTCTTCTCCACCCTCCATAATGATCAAGACACCGCCACTTCTCTCCTGTGAGCCCTTAGGTCCCGCCAACCTCCACAGACCCACAGCATGTGTCCACTGTCCTGCGTCCTAGTCTACTGGCCACACTGGCCTTCTCTCAGCCTGTCACACAGGGAACCAGCTTCACCCTGGGTGACGAGTTTTTAGGAAATTAGAAAGCAGCGTCCCCTCTGGGCAGACACAGCCTGTGCCCTGTGCCCTGAGCTCACAGCTTGGCCTGTGGGCGAGGCTGGATCCAAGCGCCCGACTCCCGCATGGACGGCAGTGCACCCACTGCCTCACCACACCACAGACCCACCACAGGGCCTCTGCACATGCTGCTGCTCCTTCTGCAAATGGAAATCCTTGGTCATCCTTCCAATCTCCACTCGAGTCCCCTCACCAAGAAACCTCCCCTGATCCTAAATCTAGACTGGTGCCTAGAGAAGTTGGCACTTGCACTTCCTGCCATTGATCCCCATCTGCAATGAATCCTGGCAGGTGTGCTATTGACTACCATCTGCCTCCCGTGATCCAGCTGCTCAGCAAGATTGCCTGCCACGCCGACTTGGCCAACAGCATGTGCCCGCTGCATGCAGTAAGCACCCAATGTGCACCGAATGATGCGTGCACTCATGGAACCGACCCTGCCACCAAGGGGTGCCACTCTGGAACCAGCCAGAGCAGTGTGGAGGCTTGGGACCCATGAAAATGGACGAGACCCCTGGAGGGCCACCCCTTCTGCCCTCACCGTGTCCTGGAGGGTAGGAGTCCCGGACGCCACCTGCTCCTGGAAGGCAGAGCCAGAGGCCCGTTCACCCCGGGGAGCTGCAGTCCTGTGGAGGCTGGCGCCCAGCCAGCCTGGGAATTGCTTCAAATTAATTTGCATAATTGGGCTGCATGTTGGTGTGTTAATCAGGCTTTATGGCATCGGGCACTGAGCACAGGCACCGAGCAGCAGAGCTGTTCCCTCTGCCTGTCGAGGCCATCCATGCTGGCCCTCCCGAGGACCCAGGCCATGGGCTGGGGGTGGGACGTCTGTCTGCTCCTGTCCTCTGCAGTGTGGGGGTGAAGGCAGAAGGACGGTGCCCCGTGTGGTGACCCCTGCCCGTCCCTCCCTTAGCCCCGGTGGCCAGTGCTCATGTGTGACGAGGACCTGGTCTGACCCTGGGAGCAGGCTGGGCCTGGAGCACCCTGTGCGCTGCAGTCCCCACTCCACCCTTCCTCACAGGTGTGCCCTTGGCCATGTGGCTTCCTTCCCCATGCCTCAGTTTCCCCTTCGGAGGGTGGTGATAGGACCCCGTGAAGCTCTGTAGACCCCGCTGCATGCAGCCCTCGGCTTTCCAGGGCCAGGACCCGGGACCATCAGTGGCCAACTGCGGGGCCGGCCCCAGCCTCATGGCGTCCTTCCAGCTGGTCCCTCCCTGTGTAGGGACTGTCCCCACATTTCACAGACATGAAACCTGGAACGCCAGCAGTCAGGTAATGGCGTAGCAAGGGTCGGGGCTGGGACCTGAGCCAGGCTGTGGCTTCTGCACCCTGGGGGCTCAGAGCTTCCCTGTCCCTGGGGCACTTCCTGCTCCTCTGCAAGCCACACGAGGCTCCGTGGGCAGCAGCTGTGTTGGTTTTGTCCTCCATCCTGCTCTTGGCCCAGCACCACGCACACCGCTGTGCACACTGATGGTGTTTAGTGAGTGCCATGTGCAGACACAGAGGGTGGGCCAGACAGTCAGGGGACAAGGGTGGCTTCTTAGAGCCAGAGTCTCTGGAGGCAGGAGAGGTGGTGGGTTGGGTGGCAAAGCGTCTGTTCCTCTCCTGAGCTCTTCCTGCCCTTCCAGGGGAGCAGACCACCCCTATGGAGACCCTCAGAGACAGCCACAGGACATGAAGGGGGTCATCTCCCCCAAACAGGGGCTGCCCCTGGACAAGGCCATTTGGAGGCAGGAATCTGGATGAGTGCTTCCTCATCCTTAGGAGGAGATGGCCCCTCCCTCTGTCCCTCCTCCAAGGCAGGCACAATACCCAGCAGGTGGCGAAGGCTTTGAGCAGCATATCTTAATTTCCTTCATTCCTTCCTCTTTGGTGCTGGGACTTGAACCCGGGCCTTGTGCACGCTAAGCCCACACCCAACCGCTGAGCTCTCCTGCGGGTACGGACAAATTGACACATTGTAAACATCAGGCCAAGGAGAGGAAACGGAGGGGGTGTCTTGAAAGATTGTGGGGGGTGTTGAGAACAGAAATGAACCCCAGGCTCCATGGTCTTTTTCAGGTTATGGCCACATCTACCCTGTCACCAAGCCTGGCAAGTACCTGTGCATGCTCTATGCCCTCTTTGGGATCCCCCTGATGTTCCTGGTTCTCACGGACATAGGGGACATCCTGGCAACCATCCTGTCCAAGTCCTACAATCAGTTCCGAAAACTCCCTTTCTTCCCTCGCGCCCCCTCTGAGTGGTGCTCTGGACTGCGCTGCAGGAGGAAGCCCATCGCCAAGCCAGGGGTGGCCTCTGTCCCTCGGATCGTCATCAGCGCTGAAGATCCCCGTGGCCCCAAGTCAGGCAAGTGCCCCTCAGACCCAGGCAGCCACGCAGAGCTGTTGAAGAGTCTTCTCTTCGCACAAGAGAAAGAGAACCTGCTGGCCCTGGCCCCACGGACCATGGAGAGGAGCAACTCGTGTCCAGAGCTGGAGCTGGGGAGGCTGTCTGCCTCCATCCTCAGCAACCTGGACGAGGTGGGGTGCCAGGTGGAGAGACTGGATGTCCCCCTCCCTGTCATCGCCCTGGTGGTCCTGGCCTACATCTCCTGTGCTGCCGCCATCCTCCCCATCTGGGAGACCAACCTGAACTTCGAGAGCGCCTTCTACTTCTGCTTCATCACACTGACCACCATCGGCTTCGGGGACACCAAGTTGGACCACCCGACCTTCTTCCTGTTCTTCTCCCTGTACATCATCATCGGGATGGAGATCCTGTGCATCGCCTTCAAGCTGATGCAAAACAGGCTCCTGC